TAGCAGTGTCCATGTCCATCCACAACTGCCTCCGCCTTCTCCTGCTAGAGGGAGGAAACTACCTAATGACCAATTGCCTGTTTGGTTGCTGCACTCATCAGACGTCCCGCAATATTGGGACTCCAGTCCGTGGCAGCCTGGAGTCGGGATTCAGTATCCCCACAACTCTCTGGAACTTCATACCAGTTATGTATAAGGCAACAGCTGGCCCTTCTCAGTTTTTGGCACCTACCAAAAATATGCTTCTTCTTAAAACATCTTTCCAGAAGAGGGAACTTGTATTTTTCCCTGAACAGAAGAGCATTTTGTTTTCAAATGGTGACCAGCGAAATGTCTCTGGAAAGCCCAAAATTTGCCACACTTGCCCTTTGTGTCTTGTTTTGTACAGTATTTTGTTATGATTTCATTCAGTAAAAACTCTTTTTAGCCCCCGTTCAAGGGTAGAATGTTTTCGAAGCAGCATATAAAATTAAATACATACATATGCCAAAAGCAAATAGCAAAACATAGTAACATATTATATTGTGGCTTTATACAGTATGGCTTGCATTTTGTTTGAATACTACTTTAATCTAAGCAATTCATAACAGTTGGCAAATAAATTCACTAACAGAATCTATAACGTTTTGCGAAGCAATCGTATCTACTTGTCTAGGTTGGTTTTCTTCATGTCAGACAGCTTTTGAATCCATCAGAGCTCCTTCTGCGGGAAGCAGCTTGGAACCTCAACTCCTCTGGAGTTCCATCTGCAGAGAAAAGCTTCACAACTTACCAATAACTACCAGTGGCTAAAAGAGTAAGCCTTAAACCACACTTGGCGTCCTTATCGTCATTCTTCATTTGAAGGGATTTTAATTTCAAGCTATTCTGAAAGCCGTTCTGGACTGAAAAGCAGGTTACACATTATTGTGTGAAACCATCTCAGAGAGGGAGGGAGAAAAGCTTTTAAGTAGCAACACAGTGGCTGAGCAGCGCAGAAACTTTCCCTAATAGTTCTGCAGCCTCATCAGCATGAATTGGATGCTTGATGATGGAGCCAGGAGTGCTCAGAACTCACTGCTCTTCATCCACCATGTGGGAAGCGAAGCAGGTGTCCATAAACTCTCCCTTCCTCCTTTCCCATTTGCAATCCAAGTTAAAAATTGATTAACTGCCATCTAACTAGTAATTGATGGTTGTCAGTACTGCGTGTATGCCACGCACTCAACAAGTATAGTACAGGAACCAAGTCTGCCAGATTAATTATATACCAGGGATGGCATAATAATGAAAATCTAAGGAATCTAGCAAAGGAAATCCCAACAAAAGCAGCTGTCACAGGCACAACAGCCTGGATTGTTTGTGCTTCAGAAAGGAAACAGCTTCTGTTTAAGCTGTGGCAAAGAAATGCACAAAACACTCTGTCGATTGGCACTCAACATCATCCCCTTGGCCTGGCAGTTCCCTGTCACACACACATGCACACAATACCTTAGGCGGAGGGCCAAGTTATCTTTTTAGCCAGAAAAGCACACCCTGAGGCACATCCTTTGAGAGGCCTGTTTTGACTCCTGCTGACTACAGCCATGATTCTACTCTCTGTGATAGTTTGGGATGGTGGTTTTCATCTCAGTTAGTTGCAAATGTTGCCGTACTTTGCATTCTTAACTCCTTACTAAACCCTTCTCTAAACCATGAACGTATGCTTGCAGGCGTCTTTCCTCTCCAAGCAATGACAAAACTTGTGTTTAAGTAAGAAACTGCCCGCGCTAGCACATTTGCCAAGCTTGAACACAACCAGAGTTTGATCCTGGTTTGTTGTGAATGGAAGAGGACCATTAAGAAATCATAGCAGAGAAAAAGGAACCACCCAAAGGAATACGGTGATCCTATTCCTTCGATCATGCATAGACTATGGAATTTGCTACCTCAAGAAAGTCACCAGCTTATACAAGTTGAAATGGACGTATGGAGGGTGAGGCTACCAATGGCTAATAAACCTGAGCACTACCTCCCTCCACTATGTTCTCCAGGCTGCATCTCAAGGGCTACTTGTAGGTTCCCACAGGCAGCTGATGGGTTACTCTGGGAATAAAGTGCTGGACTAAATGGGCCTTCGATCCAATTCTTCTGTTGTTCCTAAACCCAAGAAATGTAGCTGTGTCTGTGAAGAATAAATGCTGAAGTGCTTGGCCTGGAGCTGCACTCGCACTCCCACCAACTAGGACGTCATCAGACAGCTTTAAATCCTGCATATCAACAAAGCAATCCTTTGGTGGAACAAGCAGCAGTTCAAGCGATTACTACTACTTCTTAAGCCTTGGGCAACAGATAGGGTTTTTAAAAAATTCTTTATTATTTTCTTCCCTCTTGTAATCGAGGGGAAGGCACTATGTCATTCCCGCAGTCCCAGTTATTAAAAAAACAGCTATAGCCTCATCATGCTAGATAAGGTGATACGAACATTTCATTTTTGCCTGAAAAATATGCAAGCAAATCCTGTCCGAGCCTCAAATGCAAACACAAGCATGTGTCAGCATTGTGTTCATACCTTGCCAGACATACACTCACTTCCGATTTGCAAAGCTCTGCCTGGTCGGTTTTGCACCATTCCCCTGTGGACTTCAGTTTACGGAGGGTGTGCAAATGTCACATCCAGTGCTCCTTAATTTGCATAATTTTCCCGTTCAAGCGGCTAGCAGTGATTTGCACATGCAAGCAAAGTGAGACAATGTCCAGAAAAGCCTGGGGATCCCAAGCGCTGCTTATTGGCCACTGCTAATGCCAGTCTATAGCGCCATTTTCCACTCATTGTTTCTGCAAGTGAGGAGCCGCATAGTACCCAAAGATCCAGGCCTCTAGACACCTGGCGGCAAAACTTCCCCCAGGATTCAGCAGAAGGGTTTCGTCCAGCCACGTTTCAAATCTCCTTCTGCACATGGATTCCAGTTCCATTAAAGCAAAGCGAAATAAAACCGCACCCACCAGGAACCTCGTGGGTACATTTGACTCCAGCAACAGGGGTCCTTGGATCAGGCGGCTTGCAACTCGTTGATAGGACCACCTGCGAGCAACAGCAGAAAAGACAAAGAGATGCCAACAGTTCCATTTCCTAGCCAGTTAGATCCAGGCGCGCGTCAAATAAGCTTCGTATTAACTCCCTGCACCTGTGGCGAGGTTAGGTCACAACAACATCCAGTAGGGATCCTGTGTGGAAAATATGAACACATGAATAGGGCTGCCAGCCAGTCAGCTTGCAGCCAAGAGCCCCGAGACGCTTTGGTAAAGAGGGAGACAGCCAGGGCACCCCCTTGACCCCAAGGTAGGTCTCCAGGTCTGCTCCCACCCGGTGCTTCGAGGCACAAGGCAAACACACTGCTACACACGCACGACCACGTAGGTCGCATCTGCCCATTAAATCAGCTATTTACCGTCTGTCTCGCGAGACCGACCGATACCAGCACCCCATTATCATGCCGCTCTCTGGCCTTTTTCAGTTTGTTAGTAAAATAAAAGAGTGGTTGGGAAGGGACCACATGCCTTTAACGTGAAAGAGATGTCATGAATGGGTCAGCATGGTTGTGTTTGTTGAAACATTTATTTTTTATATATATTTCACAAAATTTTCACAAAAAAGTATTGAAACTCAAAAAAAGGAATTAGACTTAAGTTGAATACAGAGATGAAATGTACAAGATAAATGAGCAGGCAAAACTTAAGAGGTCTTGAAAGGTTTTTTTTTTTTTGTTCGTTTTTTGTTTTTACTTCAGATTGAAAAAAACGAACAGTTCAACTGTTCGGTTTAAATAAAGATTTGCTAGATATACAGTATTTTATGAATACAATGCTGGTTATTTGAGGCAAAGTAAATACCTCAATTTTTTCCTTCATGCTTTTTTTTCTTCGTTGTCTTCTGTTAGAAAGATACTGTTTACAAAATGAAACTTGAGCAGTCCAGGAAAAGCTATTTTTCCATTAAAATTTATGAAAACCATAAATTGAGGCAAACCTAAGATTCCCAAATGGAATCAAGATTATCTTCCCGCTACCACCACATTAAAATAATCAGATACTTATTGGAACACCAACCTCTGCATCCTTACAGAACATTTGTTTCCAACAAAGAGGGTAATTCTTCCAAAAAAAAAAAAAAATTAAATAGAAAAACTTCAGTGTGGTTAAGTAATACAGATTGGTGTATTACACATTTGTAACAGCTTTTGATAACAGCAGCTAGTAATACTGGATTAATATAATTTAGAATTTGTTCCCAAAGCAGTGAAGGTAGGCCTATACAGTTATAAAACATACTTTAAACTCAAAATAAATATTCATAATGTGACGTCTTGTACTAAATTCTGGTTAACAAAAGTCTTGTTCATAAAAAATGATTGGAACAGAATATCTATCTAAAAGTTAACACATTGTCAAGTTAACTTGTTTTTAAGCTTAGTGTTCTTGAAGATTATGGTGGCTAAGTTTTGTTTGTTGCCTCCCTTTTTTGGGAAGTCAAAATCATTACCACCTAGAGCAGGGCTGGGCAGAAAGTGGATCTTTAAATGCCCAGGCCATCTGGTGTCCCACCTTCTGCCCATGCCTAATCTAGAGGGTGGTTATTATTAATTTTCAGTCATGACAGTTTTTGGTCGTGTTGCATTATTCTACTTTAAAAGTTTTTGCACTTGATCAGCGCGTATTAAAGGTCAAGTTGGTCTGTAACTCATAAAAGAAACATCTAAAAGCTAATATTATTCCTTAAAAAGGATCATCATCATTCTTCAGACTGGATACACCAAACATACTTACATACCAAAGAAAGACACATTCACTCACATTCTTCAAAGAAAAAATGTTACAGTAAATGTCACTTTACATTCTATCAATTAAAGTGCTCCAAATCCTTTTTTTTTTCTTATTTTCTTTTTGCAAACAATGCAAGTGACTACAACCCTACACATTCCATTTTGCATTCATAGCATGAATTTCTCATCAGTCTTAAAATCCACAGCATGGCTGAGCTAGGAAATGTTCAAAGATTTTAAGAGGCAGGGTGGGAGGGAGAATTTAATGAGGAAATAGTTGGATATGAAAGATTTCAGCTCTTTATAGACAGCAATACAAATTTCTTTCCATTATTGAAGATAACTTAATTCACATAAGGGTGGATTAAAAATTTCTGAAAGGGAATGAGATAACACTTGGGTAATTTTTGTTCAACTGCCTTAACAGTTCCATTTCTCCTTCGAAGTGTCGGTTTGTTTATTAAAGAAAAGTAATACAAAATTGCGAAAAGGAAAACAAGGAGAAAAGAGATGGAGATGAAGGGCACCAAAATAATAAAAAGGCATAGGATTTAGAGGAAGTCCCAAAATATAAACATCGCCAACAAATTTGAATTGTTTTCCCGCAATGCTGCAAAGTATGCCCCCTCCCACCCACAATTAGTAGCTTGGATTCCTATTTAAGAGAGAGAGAGGGAGGGAGAGGGAGGGAGGGGGGGGGCAAGAAAGAAAGAAACCAAGATTTTTGATGAAAACTAACCTGGAATACCCCTTTGCCTGAGATGATGGCACTTAGAAACAAGGTGGAAAGTTCATTTTTCCTCCCAAGAGAGGGATACAAGATCAGAGTTGACACAGGATGTATTTGTACACTTTATAAACAAGTCCTTACCCAGCGTCTCTTTTTTTCTTCAGAGAAGCAATTTGTGCAGACACATAAATGTGCTATTAAATTATTTCAATGCTAAAAGGAAAATCACAATTCATTGCCATGTTACTCACTACATTTGTCTGATGTTCAGCGGACAATTCAATTTAAAAAAACAAACAAACAAAAAACCAACTAATCCTGAGGGAAAAGGAAAGAAAAAAGTTGTTTCTACAATTTAAACGGTAATGTTATGTAAAAAGTATTAACAAATCCACTATTACAAATGTCAATTTTCCTATATGGTCATCTATAGATACACAATAAAATGGTAAATATATGCAAAAATAATTTTAAAATTATCATGCATGAATTTACTCTCCTTTGAACTTTGGGGTTCCCTCAAAATACTTTTTTTCACTTTTTATTCATTTTATTCTTTTTTTATTTCCATTTATTACCAACCCCTTAAACACACTGAGTACTACCCCTACAGGTCAGCATAAAGGCTGATGGGAGATATTTATTTTACATTCAAGCTTTTATATCCTAAACAACCCTGTTGTAGCATATGACTTACTGGTTGAGTGGCCTTCTCCCCTCCCCCCCCCCTTTTTTTGCAGTTATCAGTCTCCATGATCTGTTCCGTGGCGAGCTGGAAAAAAACTAAATGTGTCGCTAATCAATGTTTCAACAGTCTTGAGATTCCGGAGGAGAACTGGGGAATCACTGTCCAAACTTATTCGTGTAGCATAGGATCATTGCACACAGAAGAACAGTCCAAACTGTGAGACAGGAAGGCTATCTACAAAGGTCCGAAAGGCCTGCGTCCCGCTTGTGCTTCCTCTTTTTGCCTTGGCATAACTGGTGCATTTTGCTACCTTGGTGCTGCTTGTTCATCACCGAGGTGCCATGGCTTGCATTTCCCGGGCCTTGGAAGCCTTTGTTGGAACAAGAGCGAAATAACCGCGTGGATCCATGCTGCGGGACAGAGAAGAGAAAGCCCGTGTGAACACCCAGGACCGTTCCTTCCTTCGTGCGGCAGCCACCCACGCGGGCGGCAGCCACACGGGCAAATAAATGCAGGGGCTGAACCGTTTCCACAAAGGGGCAAAAGCGTCTGTGGGAAGCCTTTGATCAGCTGTTGGGTGGCATCTACTGTCAGTCCCACTTGGAAAGCATGGGGTGTAAATTAAAGTAACACTGGAGAGAACCCAAAGGATACAACCCTTTGAATATTTTTAAGGAAAATACACAGAAGAGCTTTTAAATGTTCAGCTCTATGGGGAGAAAGGGGGGAAACAATAATGATCAAATAAGAAAGGCAGACTTTTTAAAACACCCGTTTTAAAACAATGTGCCCCAAATGTTTTTGTTCGTATTTTATTTCTTATGAGCGAGAGTGAGAGAAAGAGAATGAAAGCAGATTTGATGGGGAAAAATCCATAGCTAAAATTACTCCCACCGTAAAGACAATTAAGATTTGCTGCAACATGGTTGGATGGGGCTGATTCACCTGTGCACAAGTCAAAGCTGTGTGTCAAAAGACAGAAGAATAGCACTAAGTGGATCTACACTTGTGCAGACTGTGTTGCTTAAAAATACCGTTATTTAAAAATAAAAATACAAATCTGGGTTTTTCTGTGATCTGGGGGAAAAAAGACTCATGGAGAACAATTTGATCATGACAAATTGGTGCCTTTTCAAAAAGACTGGACTTTAACTAGTATGCTGTAAACACCCACTGTAGAAACACTCCAGGCTGCAAAATTGTGATCATCTCTACATTTCTTGATAATTCCTCAAAGCCCCCCTTTCCTACCCTAGCCTTAGCTTCTCAAAGAATCCTCAAGGCTTTTTAGTCACAGAAACAGGTGCCCCATTATAGCATCAGTACTGGAACTAGGGGGAGGGAAACGCATATTCCTAGATTTCCGTCTTCAAGTAAAACGTGCTAGGCTGCATTTAAGCTTCAGATTGCAGAATCTCTGCAGCCAATAAAACACTGTGACCTGCTTGTAGGCAGAGGAAGGTCAGACGCAGACTTCAAACACGGGAAGGAGGAAGGGATCCAGGAGGACGTCTGCCTTACCAACCTGGGGTTTGTTTGCAACATTGGCTGTATTCACTGTTTGGCTGCTTGGAATTTTCCCACTCAACTGTGTGGATCCCAGTGAAGAGATGTCCTGAGTTGCCATTCTGTTTGCTGTAGTCTGGCGGCAGCCCAGCTGTTTAGAGGTTTTGCATGGTGTTCCATCAGACTCCTGCCAAGAAACAGGTATCAGTAGGAACACAGATTGTAGCTTGGGGAGCAAAACAGGAAAGATAAGCCTGTTTTTCGAATGGATAGCACCTTCAAAATTACCATCAAGCAAGAGGAGTCTGCTCTCAAGAATCAAATGTTAAGGGCCCCCATATTAAGTCTGGAAATATTCCTAAAATGGATTTTATGCCCATGAAACATCCTTCCCTCAAATGAGCTTTAACAATGTTGTAGGGGCTACAAGTGTTTGCACAAAATTATTTTGAAGGCATCGTTCTAGCCAGCTATTTACTACAAGATGTCGGAGATGGGCAGCTGCAGAAAATGGCATTTCGGTGGCCCTTGCATCCCTAAGCTCTTGTTTCGTCATGAGCCGAAATGGGATGCACTCCTCCCTCAGAGCTGCCAGGGACAGCCACATTTGTCAGACCTTCAAATACTGTTTTTTTAAAAAGGCAAAAGAGGGCAGCATATGAAAGTAAGGCTCTTCTGTAGCTTTCTCATTTCTTCTGAAAGAGGTTGCCTGGCGCAGAGGTGTCAAACCCTGATTTGCGTGCCAAATGTGGGCTCAAGAGTTCCATCCAGCCCCTTCCCCAGACTCCAAACTCCCTTCCCTCTGCCCCCAGTAGTTTGCTTCTGTCTGAGGTTTGTCATCCTTGATGCAGAAAATGCAAAGTATCTGACCTTTCTACACAATAAAGGCTGGTTGCACTTAGAGAAGGGTGTGAACTGTCTTCTACTCTCCCAGGTTCCAGTTCTACTAGAATCAGCTTGCACAACCTATGATCCGTCGAAGCAAATGTAGCCCATCAGCCTTGTATAGTGGACCATCACGTTTTGTAGTCTCAGACATGAAAGCTCAAGTATCACTCAGTCCCCACTGGAATGCCATAAAGGGCTGGAGGAATGCAATTCATGCCGTGACATGGCCAAGCGACTGTGCCTGTTTCACAAGGCACCAAATTTACATCTTCTACGGACTAGGCCATAAAGTTCATCTTCCGGTGCTAGAGGATGTGATATTAAACATGAGTTTGTGTGCACGACTGCAGCAAGGCAGAACACAGTAACTCACAAGAACCATGCGCTTCTTCATGGAAACAAATTTATACTACTTCTGGACCAACAGGCAATAATCATGTTTTGCTATTTCCCAGAGGCATGTGGGGCAAATCTGCAGTATCACATGCCCTGATTTCAGGAAACAATCACTTTGCATTAAACTGGAAATCAATTGTGCATTTTGGGGCTTTAAAAATTGAAGATCTTATGCATGGCTAGCATAAAGTGGTCTGTCTTCTTAACAGAAGACTGTTCTAGACTGTCTCCAGGAACAGGGGAGAGCACACCACAATATGGCCGCCTGAGGAGCGGCAGGGCATGATACCTACTACATCACTGGAACTGGAAAGCGTGGAAGATGACGATGACAAAGGACCTGACGAAGAATTTGATGAGTGTTTGCTTGGTGTCTCCGAGGTTTTATTTCGAGGTTTCCCTAGAGATTCACTCTCTTCAGAAAGGTTATTGTTGCATTTGTCTAACTGTTGGTTATCTACTATCAAGGTCACCCCATTACCTGGAACAAAAGATAATTGGGTACAGAATAAGCACAACAACCAAGCTGTGCAAAATGGTAAATGGCTCTGTGGTCTGTTAGAACGCACACCATGCAAAGACACCTCCCAACCGGTTCGTGCTTCCTAGATGAAAGCAACTTCCCCTTCTGTATGTACTAATGAGCAGAAAAGGATCTAGTACAAGAAGAACACAAACAGTCTAGTTTATTAAATAATGCACAGTTAAACTAGAGAATCTGCAGTAGTAAGACTTCAAAATATAGTGGTGGCCACTCTTTTGGATGAGTTTAAAAGGAGTAAGACAGACGTGGAGGATAAGACCATCAGTGGCCGCTAGTCCAGATGGCAACCATTCAATTGTACTGGAGACAGTAGCCTGGTTTACACAAACTGTAGTTCAAGTAAGCTAAACCTGCTCGAAAGAAGTAGTGCACGTATCTGAAATAGCTGCTGGGGTCCACATCAGCCCCCGTCAGCATGAAGGCTAAAGTTCCCTGTTGCTAATGGACTTCAGTCATGACTAACTTCAGCTGAACCAGTTTAAGTGCTTCCCTAAACATTGTATGGAGTTACTCAAGCACTGGTCCTGTGCAACCTTGATGCGTTTCTTCTACAAGGCACTCAACCCTGTGAAGTGAATAATGTAGCATGTGACCCCAGAATTATCACTCTGCCATATTAATTACACACCAAGCTTGCCATAACTGAAAAACTAAGGGAGGCATCCTGGTTTTAAATCCTGGGAGGCAGCAGAACGTTGCTGTTGATGGCTATATGGTAATGGAAGCTTTTGAGATTGTAGCAGCAAATATTTCAATAAAGTAAAAGGAACAAACTGGGGTCTCCAGTCTAAGCACCAATAAATGGTTCAGCAAACACGGCTTTTGGAGCAACAACAGAGCTCCGCTTCAAAGAGGGAACCTAAACGTTTGCAAAACGCCTCTTAATCATGACTCGTACACGCTGCGTAATGCCAAGTGGCCTCCGGGCAGGGCGTTTCCTTGCCGAACACTCACACGTAAGGGCTGGGAGAGGGCGTTATCTTTGCAACCAGAAAGACGCATCCCCAGGACACATGCTCCAAGAGATGTCTGTTTTGACAGGCGCTGTCCAGCACAGTTGCTCTCTGCCATCAATACAGAGAGTTGTCCCTGCACCTCAGCTCCCTGAGAATGTTGTAGTACTTTGCTCACCTCAGGTGTACTAAAGAAATCGACTATCTAGTAAACGCTCTGCCTCTCTGGACCCTGAATCTATGGGCACAAGTGCCTCGTCTCTCCTCCCTTGTGTCCGTTCGTTCCCTAATTTCTAAACTAGCTTTGCTGTGTCTTTTAGGCCTGGGCCCCCCCACATCTGTTTCCACAAAGGTTGAATCCTGGGAGGATTAGGAAAGGAGCTCTGCTTCTAACATTTACACACAGAGACTTAGTAATCTGTCTTCTCTGGAGGCAAAGGGAAGTGTTTACATCCATACATGCAATGCAGGCACTTCCAGTGTTCGAGGGGAGCGACTCCCAGGTAAGCAGGCACAGAGCAGTATGCTCAATGGCACATCCCTCTCTCAGCCTCCTTTGACGCTCGGTCTCCTTCACCTCCAATTCTCTGCTTGTGACATATCGCTAATCTGTACCTCCCGTCTCTGCGTACTTCATCAGGGCTTAATGCTGTTGGGAGTGAATGGCCCTGGATGGCTGGCTTAAACCATGCAGCCTTCAGTCCCCGCTAGACCCAGCAGTCTATCCTTTATGTCATGAGAGGGGGCCACTGCCAGGTCACGCCTTTAGCGGATTCTCTTCACCCTCTGCAGGCTTCAGGTCATGCAGTCTAACAGCCTGTTTTAAATGAAAACTCCAAGTCTTAGACTGACGACAAACATGTGACGCCTGTATGGTTCCGACGGATCGCGGAACAGCTGCAAGGGCTTTGCAGGCCTAAAGGTGCGAAAATCTCACCGTTGCACGACGTCTCCGTGCTGTTCTGCATCCCCCACTGCTTCGATATCCAGTCTCTGTACGTTGCCACTTCTTGCGTCACTCTGATTATTCTTCCTAATATACTGTGGACATTTTAGAAGAAAGAAAAGGTCACTGGATTTAATAGAAGAAAAAATGACACTGTTAATCAAGGAAACGTGGACACAAAATGTTTACCTTTCGCTTTCATTGTTGGGGTAATATTTAGCTATGGGTGACACTGCATGGCTCAAAACAACATACGCATAATCAAAGGCCTGCTTTACTTGCATGGCACCGTAGGAACTTCTTCCGACATCGTTACCTTAAAAAAACACAAATGATTATTAGTTGTAATTAGGAGACAAGTTCTATGAATGAGACGTTTATTGATCGAGTGGATTTATATTCCACCTTTTTTCTTTTAAGCAACTCAAAGCAGCTCACATCATTCTCCTCCTCCTGCTCTCAATCTTATCCCCACAACAACCCTGTGAGGTAGACGGGGTGGAGAGGCTGTGACTGGCCTCAGGTCACTCAGCTGGCTTCACAGCTGAGTGAGGACTAGATGCCAGACTGCCCGAGTCATGTGCTCTTAATCTCTATACCATGCTGGCTCTCCGGTGATAGCTATAACCTCACCCAATCCAAAAGACCCAAGTTCTCACTAAATGCCCCAAAATCTGCCCAACAGAAAATGGCTAATGCTCTTACAGGTATAAAAATAATGGACATGAGCCAGACATTCATTCACTAATTGTACAGTTTCAAGGCACGTCTTTTCCCCTTTGCAGGGGAACAAAAGGGAAAGAAGACGTGTTTCTGGGCAAAGAAATGTGCATCCTTTGCTTTGCTATGTTCCAATCCAGGGCTTGGAGGAAGCTCACATCTTCCTGGCTTACAAGCAAAAAGAGGCCCAAGTATTAATTAGCGCTTCCTTTCTTCACCCTCATCTTGAGGTAACTCAAATTCTCCTAATATAGCATCCCTAAATGTTGTTGGACTACAATGTCCAACATCCTTGACCATTCCTCTTGCTGACTGGGGATGATGAAAAAAAAATGCAGTCCGACAACATCCGGGGAGCAGAACGGGAAAGTCTGGACCAGATGGACGTGTGAGCCATGCCGCCCTCAGTATTCTGGCCCAAGAGAAGCTACATGCCTCAAGCCAGCAGAAGGGCTGACCCGAAGTCACAAGACGAAACCAACGTGCTTCATTGCTAAACAGACATGGGGCGCCCTGGTAACATTTCACATCTGGAGTGCGGCAGCCCAGTCTACATGGCGCTGCTGGGAAGTTCAACTGCTCTAAACTGTGGCGAGGTCTCCCCAGAGCCAGAACTGGGGTGGACTTCTGAGATCACGCGGCTCCCTTGGTGAAACAGCTGCACGGCAACACATCTGGCTGGGACCAGGGAGGAGTCCTTGTTAGTAGCTGCAGCTACGCTTTGGAGCTCCTTCTGTCTTGAGGGAAGCCCGTGTTGTCCGCTCCCTAATGGCTTGCGCTCCTGCATGACAAAAACCTTTCTCCTTTTTAGGAAGGCTTTGGGCTTGTATGATATCCAATGCTTGTAATATTCTGCCCTGCCATGAGATCATTGTGATGATGATACTGATCTGTTGCTCTGTACGGCTTTTGTTTTAACAGATGTTCTCTGTTTTGGTCATTTGTATTTTGGTCTTCTACTTTTAGGTTTCCGACTCCACTTTTACTCAGATTTACTCTTTATTTTTAATAGGATTGTTCATTCCGTTTAAACCATTCGCTGCCTTGGACTTGGAAAGGAAGGCAAGATTCTTGGGCAAAGCATCGGAGAGGCATAGCAAAAATCCCTCTACCTGGTTGCAGCGGGTCTTCAATGTAGAGCATGGACGGCCTGTAGCCATCTAGCATATTCTTCTGCACCTCCTCCTTGGCCACATAGGAACCACCATCCTTTATTCGAATTCCTGTTTTCAGGTAGTTGAAATGGCGCCCATACAATTCAAAAAATTCTATTAAAAGGACACCGTAGTTGGCGTTGGGGGTACAGGCATCTTCTCTGGGGTGTAGCTGTTGAAAAAGCAACAACGCCAACAGGCTTTTAAAAAAACCCACCATGTTCTTTTACCACTCATTTAAGAACTCAACTGAAACAGTGACAGGCAAACACTTCTGCTTGATAGCTGGCATGGTATGAGTGTGCCATAAAAAGGGTGTACTCAAATTCCGTTTGCACACCCTGAGTAAGCATGCGAGTAACTTCAATGCAGAAGGCATCACACCCTTTCAGACAAATTTCCCCAATGACCAACTTTCACAAGGTTGCCATGAAGGAACAAAACTGGAAAACATCACCCAACATTTCAAAGAACTGGGCGTGCTGCCTTCTTTTCAAGAAAGCTGATTACCACTTGGTGCACATGTAAAACCAACTCCTGGCTTAAGGAGCACAGGAAGTGACTCGGCTACATGGGTGATGGCGCTTTGCCTTTCGCCTGCTCAGCACTGCCAACCTGAACTGGCTTTCTGAAACAACCCGGGAATGCCCCAATCCTGCACTGCTGTGATGTGAAAAATGCACCCCCCCACACACACACCCTTGCTGGCTTCTCAGATCATAAGAACTGAGTCTAAGCACCATGCTCAACAGCAGGCTGAAACCGAGACCTGTGAGGGACATGAATCCAAATATCCTGCCCAAGGACCTGCCTGCAGTCTAGCTCCCTGTAGGTGAAGTGGGAGCTTTTATGAGACGCTTCACCACAAAATTAATATGTCCGTGGTAAAAATGGCATAGTATTAATTCTGGACAAGTTCAAGGTTGAAGAGGAATATCAAACACTGCCCATAAGCATTCTTGAAGAGCTGTGCTAATTCAAAGAGTTATTTGAAAAACCCTGGTGGTTCCACGCAAGAAATTTGATTGCAAAACTAACTGCTTTCCAGTTTAAGGTTTATATGATTTATTTTTACATAGTGATATTCATGTTATTCTGCTCAACGATGGCAGCAGTAGCAGCAGCTGATGCTGATTTTAATCACACTGGTTTCCAGTTCAATTTGCAACCTATTTTTTGGCCCACAATAATTAATATAACACTGAAGAGGATGGCCATACACATACCATCACGAATTTAACTCAGCTTACCTGGAGGAAGCTGACAGCCATTAAAAAAAGACTATAGGATCCAATTCCACCTGTGAATACTTCATTGAGGTCCCTCTGCAGTAAGAACTGTTTCAATACTAAAACTAGATATGGCAATACAGGATATTTCTGCAGGAGAAAAAGTGAGATGAGGATCAAACTTCCACTGAAAAATGACTGTAAAATAAAAAGCACAAGTCCATGATGGCTAGAAGCAACACAGGAACTATCATTTATTTTGCACTTCTTGAATTTTACCCTTTCAAGTCAATTTTCTGTTAGCAGAAAATAGGACTTGTGTTACCTTGAACCCAAAACCAAAGTTTCCTTTTCCTGCCACATGAAGTTCCTAAATGCACAATTTAGCATAGTGCCACTAAGAAAAGATTTCCTGCACCTTCAGACCATCTATGTAAAATAAAGCGGACATCATTTGCCTGTATTTGCTGACTGCATTGTTCTCAGCTGTTCTCAGCCTAATGAACCCTAAAACTTTGCCTGCTTAGAGTAAAAGTCTTCTGGTAACCCACAAGAAGCTGTAGATAGAAAAATTTACTACAAAGGTGGAAAGAATCTGTACAAGAGCTTGATCGTCAAATCTTCCTCGTGCAATCTGACCTCAGATCTGAAAAAAAAATTCTCCCCCCTGCATGCATTCTAAAAGCCTCATTTAAAAACATGGAGCATAAATGCACAAGCACATGCTTTGGTGCCCTCTAGAGGGAACAATGGAAAAAATGGGCCATCTCTTCCAAGGCCATATGCTTTGAGAAAAGTTCTGAATCTCTTGGAAAAGAAATTACCACAAGTCCCTACTGCCCTCCTTACCAATACATGCAGGGAAAATTTACCCCAGCCTTCCTGCATGTCTGTGAATCGTCATGGCAATCACAGAGGGAGTTCAAATTATTTGTGCTCCCACGACATAGGATTGGGCACGGAGACAGAGGAGAAGGCTACCAATGTCTACTAGCCCGGGCAGATACATGGCACCTCCTGAAACGGAAGTGACCGTGGCTGGGGAACATGACGGAGGGGATGCTGTGGCACTAATGCCTTGTCTGTGGGTTTCTGTGGGTGGGTGGTTAGCTGCTGTGTGAACACAATTCTGGACTTGGTGGACCACCAATCTGATCCAGCGTGGCTTTTCTTACGTCCTTAAGTTCTAATGGGAATGCTCTAGTCATGCCGGATGTGATAAGCCTTCGCTATGGCTCAGTACGGCTTTCCTTATGCATCTCCAGTTTCTCAAAGGCTCTAGTCAGAATCATTCTCCATTTCCAAAATGGTCCTTTGCTCCTTTTGCAACATGGGACAGAAGCTTGATCAGGTTTGGCAACAGCATCAAGGAGCTGCATTTTGGACACTGTCTGCAGAGTTCATGCTATTTGACTAGGGAAACAAGGAAGAATATACTACGAACAGCTCCAGGGCGCGTGAAAAATCAGTTAACCTTGACATGACTGGGAACTGCGTCAGTTTCATATACCTGCTTCTGGATACACCCTTCGAACACAAATAGAATCACGTGTTCTTTACAATTCTCATCCTGCTTCTGCTTTGTATCTTTATGATAAATGTGAAATAGAGACCAAAGGAGTACTGACTTAAAACTCATGCCATCTTCGCTCTGATTTTGCAGCCTGAGGACAGGGTCTGTGTTTTACTTTGTTATGCTCGAATGACTGAAAAGCACTCAAACTCTTATTTAAACTCTTATTAAATTATGCCTTTCGTCAAGGAAGTAACTAGCTGAGCAGAGCTTCGAAGAAGAGGCGCGAATGCAGATAAAGACACAAGCTACATTTACACATAGCGCTAAACCAGTGTCAATGTGAGCAGTAAGGTACCTTCACAAGGAACCAGGCTCAGCCCTCCCTCCTTTGCTCTCCCCTCCCACACGGGGAAAAGGAGCAACAAAGCCAAAATCAGTTCCACTTTAGCGAATTCCTGACTTACCATTCGAAGGGAAAAGACAGATTGTACTTTAAAATAGAAACAGCACTGTGGACAGTCCCCTCCATCCTGCTTCCAACAGCGAGAAAGTGGGGGGACTTCCACTGTGCTCATGATCTAAATGACTCTGCCACTAAGAACCTGAAACTGTCTTTTCTGGCTGTGTTTTCTCCCCGTAATCTCCTTTCCTTTTCTGTCTTGTTTTTAGAATATAAGCCTGTAGCAGGGAGATTGTCTTCTTTTTTTCTCCATGCCACCTTCAGAGCCTATTTGGCTAACAGGCAGGATAAAAATGTTGTAATTTTTTTAATGCAGTCTAAAAAGTCTCCAGAGCAATCCAGGGTTTGCAGCTGGCTTGTTTAGCTTTGATTATTTAGTTTTTATTTGATTTGATTTGTATGCTGCCTCATTAGCCATAAGGCTTTCTGGGTGGCTCACAACATATACATAGCAATTAAAACAGCATGACAATTTAACAATTCAAGTAAAACCAACAATAACAATAAACAATAAAAATTCTATACTGATTACAGTATAGAAATGCCAAAAAAAGGAAGTAACATAGGGGTTTTTTTTTAAACTATGATTCCTGCTGCACATGTAACAGGCCGGGAATTTACTGAAGTGAAAATTAATCTTAATTTATTTCCTCCTCCCACCTATGTGGGAAGAAAGGAGATGGAGAATGGGCCCAAGTATTTGCCTGGGTCCTTTTTTGCTCAAACATAGTTTAATATTCTCTGTGATCTTTCCCAGAATAAAAGTCAATACATCTTGGGCCTTTTTAAAATGACTATTTGAATTTATAAGTAAGACCAAAAAAGAGGTTTTTAATTTAGCCCTTCAGAACTGAAAGCGATTTAAAATGTTGGAGACTAAAATGCATACATGAGGTCACATATTTCTTGTTCCATATTTGCAAACCTTTTGGCATCAGGGATACGAACTAACAGTACTTTAAAAAGGGTCGAGAAAGAAAAACAGCCAAAGTTCTAAGAATGTATCATAAATCTGATGCTGTCCGTGAATCTCCAAGCTTATCTGGAACTACCACGCAAGCCTTCTGTGTAACATGGAAGAGTTTATGTTTAAGTATCACCTAACCTTGATAAAATCTTTGATGAGATGAGCAGCTTTTACTCCATTCTGTACGTTAAAGCTGATATCAACTTTGACTTCAGTGAAGGAATCAGTCAGTTTAATGATTGGTACCTGGGGAAAAGAGAAATAACACTGATCTCAGAGAGCGTTTGCAGGTACATGCTTAGTCCTATCCAATATTGCACAAACTGAAAAAAAAAAACCTAATCTCCACAGAATTCAGCTTTCTGCCTTGCACAAGAGGTTCTTTATAGCACAGTCAAGGGAGGAGATAGTTTCCAAAACACAAAGTAGTTCTTTCGAGTCATGAACAGACAGCAGGGGGAGATAGAAGCCCACAGAATAAAATTGTTCTTCCTATACGGGCCATTAATGAAGAGAGAGTCTCATAAAAAGCAAGCAATTCATGCAGAAGATACATCTCATTTTACTTCTGAAAGAATATGCTTTCCTCAGGAGTTTGATCCGCGTGTTAAGACTGTGAAAATATAACGACGAAGGTCATAATGCAGTCCATAGCTCTGAAGTCCATCAAGAATTCAAACTACTTCTCTGAATCTAAGGAATCTAGATTAGCTGGGTAAGTTAATACCCTTCAGTATCACAACCCTATATGCATGTCTTCTCAGACGTTCCACTGAGGTAAGTGAACTGACCAAGGGACATTTCTTTGAACAGCAGGCCACCAGCAATCCCCAAAGGCGTACCTCAGCCCAGTTCACACGATCACTGAAAAGTTGCTGTGAGTCACAGCACATCCTGGATGGCAGCCTGAAATGCAAGTTGCCGCAAGCAGCTGCCTTGACTCAACACGACCTCCAAGATCTGGGGAGGGTGCGCTGCTGGCGTGGTTAACAAGGCACCCAACCCTCTTGGTTTGTTAACTGGTAGGAATGATATCTGGGTTCGAGTCCCCGCTCAGCCCTGGAGCCCACTGGGTGACTTTGGGCCAGTCACAGACTCTCAGCCCAACCTACCTCACAGGGTTGTTGTTGTGGGGATAAGATGGAGGAGGAGATGTAAGCTGCCTTGAGCCCTTTGTAGAAGAAAGGCAGGATATAAATCGGAAATAAATAAATAATAATATGTGCCCACAGAGAGATTTCAGGGGTTGTGTTCCTTATACTCCCGTTGCTCTGGAGAAGAAGGGATAACTCAGCTTTCATTGTCTCACCCAGTGCACATACTACAAGGATTTTCTATTCCTTACATTGGGGTCCACCAGCTAGCCAGTTAACCTCCTCTTCCCTGGCCAGGGCTAGCAATGTGTTTTATACTGTCTCTTGCTTTAGAGTATTTCCTGTTGCAAAAGGACAGCACATGCTTCAACCACAGCCGGAAATGGGGGGCATTTTGACCCCCAATATTTTCTTACAGAACTAGATGCATCTTTACCACGGGTACAACCCCTTTCCTACTCTACTGCCTCCTCCTATTTTCTGGGCCTCCAGCAAATTTACGCGTGGGAGGACCCAATTCTAACAGTAGTTAGATGCCAACAGTTAACTGATTTGTCATGGTTATGGACCAAGGGCAGTTGCATAGCAAGGAGGGTCTTCAGGATATAATTTGCAGAAAACACGTTTTAGTAAAACAAAGAGAAAAAGGGAAAATAACTTACAGTTGCTTTGTCTAAAACCTTTACTGAACCTTTATCTGCTACATTGTGCTTCCTAAGAGCCTCTTCCAGGGTCCACAGAGGCAACGTCTCCCATTTTCCAAACACAACTAAGTCAATATCACTGAAATGAAAAGATGGCAAATTAAGATAGAATTCGTTCTCCAGAAAGTACATTCTGTACTGCAGAACAATTTTATATGACTTGCTAGCAAGCTTTCTAGCACTGCGAGCTGACGGTGAACCTCAGTGCCACATACTTGTGAACTTCATACTCTCGGGTGAGCACAAGCAGCAGTCAAGAGGGCATTTCTTAGCCAGCGAGTTAATGAAATTCTGATCTGTCACCACTTCCTAACATTATATTCCTGATGGATCGCAGCCTATCTAGCTTCGAATTCCCAAAGTGCTTTCCCGATGCTCAGCTATACATCTCTCAGATCCTATGGCATGAGGAAAGCTGCCTCAGGTGCAGGATCTAAAGTGTGCTGGGCAGCAGATATATTGCATCACCATAAACTCTGCCATGGGCTTGATTAGAATATAAAATGATGGTGGCAGGGCAATATAAAAACAATGATTAAAACATTACAGCACAAAACTGATAATTCTGATTCAAATTAGAAGGCATTCCACTATTGCTTCATTTCCCTTTTGTAGTGTTTATCATGAAACATCTGTATCCAGGAAATACGTTCTCTCTTCACATGAAACTACCATGAGATCATTCTTCATATTCCGACCTTCAGAAGCGAAGTAAGTATCAACCGGGAATAAGAGCTGTTTCTCTCAGGCCCCGCACCTTTGGAAGTTCCACCATGGGAACATGTGCCTGCAGACTTCACTGTTATGAGTAAAATAATATTCCCTCCACTCAAGCTCCACATCAACCGCTTTGATTAGTTTTATTCTTCAGCTTCTATTCTGTATGGCTGATTTTACAGATTTGGGCTTTTCTTCATTATACTAATTTGAAAACTTATGGATTTTTAATGGAAAAAAAGGTCAAGTAAATTATAAAAATCCATCTTTGGCCATGTGTCAGAACACGATAAGCTGTGATACACATGAATTTCAAGTACTCACAGACAAGCACTCTGTTGGCAATGGTTAGCTCCTCCTTTCACATATCCAAATGAACAAGCCAGGAAGCCACAATTAACCATAGCTTCTTGTTATATCTGAACTTAAGAACTATAGTTAAGTTTCCAAAAAAGCCAGGTCACCAACTTTAAACCACTGCTTCTTATTCTGCCTTGCTTCAAAACTGTTAGTAAACATTAATGCCCTGGTTCCGACGTAACCAGAAGCTGTGATTAACTGCAGTTTTCTGGTTTGCTTCATCACGGGCACAAAGGAATAAGTGTGGGTGGAAGGTGTGTACATGTCTAGATTTTATTGTTCAAGCTGGGCCAGAAGACAAGTAATTAGGTAGAGATTTATTATATCCTGTCAACTGAACCATCTGCTAAATGGCAATTCCACCCTTCTGAGTGCCTAGGAGTCCAGGAGGGTGAGGCAGGATAGTGTTGCCCACTGTCTGGTGGGAAGGAGCAAAAGAATGTAAGGATCAATTGAACAGTCCATCCGGTCCAACATTCTGGGCACACAATGGCCAACTACCGCCTGTGAGAAACCCACCAGTAGGATATGAGTGGAGCAGAAACCTCCTGTCTCTGCTTTCCAGCAACTTGTACCCTGTCTCTGAGGCTGGAAGTAATATATAGCCACCATGAAGGAACAGGTGATACCATCCAATGCATGCTTCAGCTACCACATTCCTGCCCCAAGGCCATCTAGCATCAACTGTCCCGTGGGGAGGATGCTGATGAGTTTCAATATTATTTTACTATGATTTTAATACTGCATTTTCGTTTAATGTGCAGTATACCTTGTAATGATTTTTTATCCTTAAAGGTGAAATAGAAATAAATAGAATAAATGCCAATAAGTAAACATGTAAAACTATCTTCTGTTCCTAGTGAGGTCAGAACATTGCTTTTCAGAGATGTTACAAGGACACAAAAGTCATGAACAAAAACGGGAGAGAGCCATGTATGCTCCCCTGAACTCTTTGGATACAAAGACAACACAGAGACAGAAAGACGGACAGATACTAACCTAGTGGGTAAATATAAACCAGTCTTAAAACTTCCAAATATCTGCACCTGAAAAACACACATACACATACACCAGGTCAAAACCTTTCACCAAAAACAAATGGCATAAGAATTCATATTGACTGTTGCTGCCCTCAACTGGTAGGCATCAGAAAAGGTTAACCAGAGTACTGCACTGAAGACTCAAACTGGAACCCTTCAGAGTGTCAAACTGCGGCTGGACTCTCGCTGTTGAACACCGCAACAGTGGGGCAGCTCAGTCACTTTAGACTCTGGAAGTCACAGTCTCATGGTCCCCCCCCCCCCCTTTAGACTGTCCGGCACAAAAACTAGAGCTTCTCTTCGCCCGCTTTCCATGCTTTACAACTGCTTTCTCGCATGTTAAAGTGTTTGCCAACCATATTTTTTAACTGCATATGTGCACATATACACTTCATTTAAAGCACAGGGGGTCACCATGACTACAGGAATAAAATGGACTTTACACCTTCTCTACCTGCTACATGCTATATGGTCAGCTGGGGTGGGGGGGAGAGGCAGGATTTGGGAAGTGGGCCCGTCGACTTTGGCCCAAGGTACCCCTACCTGCACCACTTCAGCAGCCAAATCCTAATCCTAAGTGGTTTACACTGTTACGCGGGTTTTCTGAGAAACAGTTCCAGACAATTGTTCCTAAGTGGCCAGTATGCTCAAAATTTGTATTCCAAATGCCACTGAAAACAGAATGGAGAAAAACGATGCTGGATCCAGTATGAAACAAATCCTTACAAAATATTTGGCAGAGAAACGTATCTGCAACTTCTCTCTGTGCCTATACAACTCGAAACTAGCTTATTATTAAGGTACCGTCAGTGTTTTTTGAGCAGTTCCAACGTATCCTCCCAACATGCTGGAAAAAAATAGGATGGTTCTATCTTTATCCATTACTCCCACATTGGGGATGGTCTAGAGCTCCATGATGGAGCAAATACTCTCCATGTAGGAAAGACAGGTTTATTCTCCAGCCCTAATTCTGGCTTGTCAAGCTTCTGAGGTCTGCACATAACACTAAACAATCAAGGGATGGAGCTGCGATTTTTTAAACTGTTTAAAAAAAATGCTTTTTTAAAAAATCAGGTTACTATTGCATGCAAACCTGGCCTATGTTTCTCTGATGCCCATACAGCTGTTTCAATGCAAGCTAAATTTGAATTTTGACAATAGAGTTGCACCTGAAAAATATGCATATGCAATTTCATTTAAAAAGTTGGGCAAGCAACGTATTAATTTACCATCGGCATGTTGAGCTCCGTACAGCATGGAAAAATACCATCACTACACACATGTACAGTATAAGGAAGCCACTCCTGCACATCCTGCCATAGTAACTGCAGTTTTTCCAGACCACGCAATTTAATTAACAGGATGAATTTCTTGGCAAGGACACAACAGCACACAACAACCTGAAGTGATCTGCAGGATCTTGTCAACCCAACAGCTCCAGGGTTTGAACAACCCTTCCGGTGTCTTGTCCCCATCCTCAACACCCACCCAACTGCCCTCCCCGTCCAGAAATTTCCAAGTATGTTGACTTGAAATTCTAATTATCTGCTACATGGGTGGACAGAAAACACATCTCCCAGACATTTTGGATTTCAACTCCCAGCATTGCAGAACACTGGCCATGTTAGCAGGAGCTTTTGAAAGCTGATATTCAAAACATCCTTCCACTCACTCTATATGCTTTTAAGAAGGAGCACAGATTTGCTAATGGAACGCCTAGAAGGTCCTCTTACTGATCCAGACCAGTGAAATACGAAACTTTGCACTACCTATTCTTAAGAAAACGGAAGCTTATCTAAATCCAGAATGACCTATTCTGATTGACAACAGCGCTCCAGAATTCTAGGCAAAGGTCATTCCCATCAAGTGCTATCTGATCCTTTGCTACTGGAGGTGCCAGAGGCATCCTTCACGGAAAATTGTGTGCTTTACTACTGAGCTACAGCTCCTCCCATCCAATGTAAGAGGCCGATCTCTTCCCTTTAGGAAGCTTTGTAATACTAAAAGTTTCACATATACTTTATTAGAATTATGCAATATACAATGGGTAGTCTATTTGGTCCAAGTAACAGAATGCCTGGTCCTGGAGACCGAGCCCTACTCCACTACCAGGACCTTGAATAACCTTTCCATTCAGCCCACCTTCAATGGAAACAGCTACATAAAATGATCAGGGATAAGACTGCTCCTGAATCTGGCATTTGCAGAGAGCTTTCAAATCTCTGCTCACTCGTGTTAGAGTCATGAATCACAAATCCCAGCAAAATCTAATAATGCCATGGATTTGAGGCTCCTCGATCCCTGAACTTGTGGTGGACACAGAGGAACCCCTGCCGTAGACAGTAGGACAACACATTTTCAGCATGGGTACTCCGCCCTGGTTAATAGTCATGTTGCCAGAGATGTACCAGACTTGTGTGCAAGAAGCTGGACGGCATCTGATGTTCACGCTAAGTATAATTGTGTGCTGCTGGTTCTTTTTAACAAGATTTACTCTCCTTTGAAAAACTAACCTAACGCACTTCCTTTTCTCGTCAGCTGTGCTGTCCCAGCCCTAGGATAATTAAAGCCTCTTATAGTGGAGCCTCGTTGATGCCAAGAACAGTTCTCACTTACTAGGAATGTTTCCATCTAAGCACATTCCCTGGAGCAACAGAGCAAATGACACAATTGCTGGCTTCTATAAATAAAATCATAGTTTAAGAAATGCTCACTGAACACCATCAATTTTGTGTTATCGTTTTTCCTGAGCACATTAAGTGTATACAAACTACTTCAAGCTCCCTTTTCCCCCCCAAAACAAGACCCTCCTCCCTTACCAAAAATAAAAAAAAGATGACTTTCTTTTTTTCAAAAATCTTTCTACAGTGTGTGCAGGAGGAGGAAATCTTTCTATGGAATGAGGCAGCAATGTTTCCATTTTCAAATATAGATGAAGAGAGCAAGTCTGACTGGCTCGTGTTAGTAGGAAAGGTCTGAAGGGGAGGGAGGGGGTAAAAAGCATCATGGCTTTGTGCAGATGTTCTTCCTGCTGGTTAAGAGGTTTAATTTGTTAGCCACCAAGCAATTAAACTTGAATTTTTCAAACAGATTTGGGGGCATGCGGTGACTGAGTTCATATAAAGCAACTGCTATTCTGTCATCAATTTTGCAAATCACTTCAGGAACAGATTAGCATTCCAAAACGCACCATAACCAAAACGCAGCAACATGTTTGCTTTCATAGTATTTGGAAGGATTTCCCACGCTTTTCTCTTTACCCTCCCGTTAACTCTGTGGCTGATAGAGAAAGACAGAGTCAAGAGGACTACTACCCAGAAATGGCATCTGAAGGGAGGTATACATCCATAACTACTAGAATGCCGCAACACATGGCATTGGTCTTGCTAAATAATTGGATATGGCTTTGCTATAAAACTTCAGCTAATCATTTGTGTTAGTTCTTCCCAAGCAGCTGTTAGTATCTTCATTGCTCCCAATGCACTGGGGGGGAAAGGGCAGGGGGCAATGCACACACAGTGAAGCACAAACCAGCACTTGAAAAAAAAAAAAAAGGAAGGTACCCAATTATGCTGCATTGGCACAATTTTATTCTAATGTTGGGATTTTCTAGTTGGTGGAAATTGTGGCTTTTGAACATGTAGTTAATGAAGAATATACATTTAAAGCTGTTGAGCAAGAAGGAACAGTAACACACAAGTACAAAGGAGAAGTGCTTGTTAACCTTACATCTGCGTTAGGCCACAGCTCCTTTATGACGTTTTCTATCCTATTCACCACTTCCATTCGCATCCTTTCTTCTTCAGGTCTGGGAGACATGTATTTGTAGAAGTCGTTGATCTCTTCATGAAGACTAAAAAAGAAGGACAATGAGTTAGCCCAGTCGCAGTAATACAAGAGGAACCAATGTGGTCTTGATTTTCAAAATCTTAATTTTTCAGTAGGGTGGCCCATGCACACTTATCAGTACTTCCATTATTCAACGGGATTTACTCTCGCATAGTTGTGTGCTGTACTGAAGCCTGTGTCTGGTAAGGGAATGCAATAGAATATTCCAGGATAGAATAGGATTGCAGTAGAATTTGAAAAAGCTTGCAAGACCGAGTCCAACCCCTGCTCCGCTTGCACATGTGGCCACCCATCCAGCTGCAGGCCACTGCTTTCCCAGCTTAACTCAACATGCTAGCATGATGGGGAACCCCACACCAAATGGGGAACCCCACACCAGCTTTTCTGCCTCCTAATCCTTTGCTGGGGTGAAACATTTGCAGAGGAAAATCATCAGGCAGTATTGGTTGTTTTAACACTTTTGTCACCCACAGAACTCCCTTGCAACAAATCCTGCTGGATGTTTTACAACTGTTATTTTCCCCAGCCAAGTTCTAAGACTAGAAATAGGCTCTGAGCCCCTCCCATTAGCAGATTCTTTCCTGAAAGTGCGCCTCAATTCCATAGTCATATCCATCATTCTAAAGAACTTAATTTCAAGCCTTAGAACTCTGGCCTAGAACACAGTCACAAAATACCATCCATTCCTTATATCCCATCATTTACGGAAAAGGTGACTTTCCTTTAGTTAAATGTAGTTGTATTTGTGGAATGTCTACAAAATTCATCAGCAAAAGTTTTTGAGCTCATTTTCAGAGACGTGTAAAAATAGCCAATTGCTCAGAAAACCAGTTTTCTGTCATTCTTTCTGCTTTATGGTTCACTCAGCTGTAAGTGAAAAAAGGACCAGAGAGTGTTTCCCAGCAGTTCAAAATTATAAAGATAGGGAAGTCAGGCAAAAAACAGCCTTTTCCTTTAAAAGAAGACTACTACAGAGCTATTGTTTTTATTAATGACATTCCTTAATTAGTTCAGTATCCCTTTCACACCTTAGGAGCGCTAACATTTTGCATTTGTATGGTACTGATGGGGTGGGGAGTGGGGTTTCTATGCACAACTTTCCAGTGCTTATTTTTTCCACAGATGTTCCACATTATACGCTCATTTGAAATGATCGATGGATTTCAATAGCAAATACAGTATTAGTCAAGGTGGAAAGTGCCTAAGTGGTAAGTAAGTGGCTATCAACCTATCAGCCTGTCCCTTGGGGTGTTCAGGGGCCTTTTCAAGTAGCTTTTCCTGCTGTGGAATCATCTCACAGTGTGGCTAACCTGATGCTTACACAAAACCCTTTCAGACACAGGGCACTGACTTTTTTAATTTCTTGAGGGTTTTAAATGCCAATGTAGTGTTGAGTTTTTTTTAAAAAAAATTTTTTTTGTCATTTTTAGCTCTGTCTTTTACTGTCAGTCATTTTATTATTATTGTCTATGTTTTTATGAGCTTTAAACTACTTTGGAAATTCTTTAAATTGAAGGCCAGTATAGCTATCAATGAAGAAATGTAAACAGCTGACAAGGACAGCCACCATTTCATAATACACCCAGAAATAGCAAACAGGACAAGCAAGTCAAATAGGATACACACAATTATCTGCACAGAAAATAAAAATATCAAACTGAATTTTTTAAAAAACACCTTCAATTGTTGGTGACAAACTAGCAAGAAAGAGGCAAAGCAGAGAAAGCAGTTGGGCATGGAGAATCATCTCTTCTGCTGACCCTCAATGGCTCGCCAGATCGCAAAGAAGAAGACAAGTCTTCGGTCCCAAGTTATTTGGGTCTCCAGTGCTAATGTGCTCGTGTTTGTCACTGTACCCAGACACCTCTCAGTGCCTGCTAAGCAACTTCCCACTCCTGATTTTTATTTTATATCTTGAGAGTTTTTAAATATTAAACTAAAAAAAAAAAAAGACTGGGCCCTTGCGCCTCACTGCAAAGCAAAGACCCACCCTCAAGTTCTTTGTACTTAGGCAAGTTACTTTTTTTGTCAGTCTGACCAGTTTGCTTCTTTGACATGAGCATCCTGCGACCAGGCTGTCCCACCATGGCAGCCCTTGCATGAATGGGCATGGTGACACCACTTTTGACCATCCCATGAGAAAGCCCACAATGCACTAAACATTCCTGACTCGAGCATGTTAGGGACTCTTGATGTAGAGCTTTGAAATGCAAAAACCAACACTTTAAGTTGTGCTTGGAAACAGACGGACAGCCCAGGCTAGTGACCTCCCACCACTGCTTAAAACAAACAAAACTTCTCAGCTTCCTGATGACTCATGTGTAGTAGCTGAGTTTTAACCCTGATTAGCTATTATTCTTACACTGCATTTGTATACCACCCCTTTTCCCCCTGAGAAAAACCCAAGGTGGCTTATGGAAGCCCATTTTATCCTTCCAGCAACAACCATGTCAGGTAGGTTAAGCTGACAGCCCATAACTGGCCCAAAGTCACCCAGTGGGCTCCATGGCCAAGAGGAGATTAGAACCCCGACCTCCCAGGTCCCACTCCACACCAGTTTTCACTTCCAATGGAAGCATTTGACACTGAAACAGCAGAGAGCACGTGCAGGGTATGGGGAGCATTGGAGTCCACTGCTCCACTTTAAAACCTGGTTACACTGAATGCCAAGGTTGTCCTCCCTGACAGCTCAGGCTCCAATACCCACTCAGACTGCATGGCCTTGATCAAGTTTCCCTCTCCCAGCATTATCTTCTCCCTGGGAGGCTGGGAACCTGCACTGAACTCTTCACAGGGAAAGCGGAATAGAAAGCTAAAGAATGTAACACAATTTACTAGAGGATACTTTCTCTTTGTTTTTTTCTTCTTCCTTCTGTGTACAGAAGTAGCCGCTAATATTATTGTTTTTCTCAAGTTCAGAAAAACTGTTAAAGCTGTGCCAGTGAAAATAATATCAGCAGAGATGATAGTGCATTTCCTATCAAGCAGCAGTGCATGTCTGTCCACAGATGGCATTTCCACAATTTGTATGAGTTCAACAAGATCCTAAACAAGATCCTAAAGACTTTGGAGCCACATGCTGCCCATCTATCACTGAAGGCCCACTGCATCGAGATTATGTGGTGTTGACATTAAAAGTTAATACTAACAGCTGCTTACGGGAAATGAGGTAAATACACAGGCCTCACAATTGGCCAACATGGCCAGAAGAGCAATTTATCTTGCATATTCCAATAGACGTCTCCCTACCTAAGTAATCACAGCATTTGCTGTGAACGCTACTGGGGGAACGGGTATTTGTCTTTCCCATAATGTGTGGGATGAAGGCCTCAGTCAAAGAGTCAGACCTCTATACTATCTAAAAAATTAGCCAGACAGTGGATTATTCCTAAAGGAAAACTTGTCTCTGCTTGGAAAAAAATCTGTCCAGTCCTAAGGGACTCAAGTCCATCCTATGGCAATTCAGTCTTTTGCCTGGGATTAAAATAATTATATATAGAAAGAATCCAGGGCATATAAAAATGTGATGGCACGGCCCAACCATTTTCCTTTTCTTTCTTTTCTTCTTTTATATTTTGTTGCTGCCTATGGACTCAAAACTTCTTGCAGAGATGGTTCTATAAATCAATACTTTTTTGATACTATCAATACTTTCTATAAAAAGTCTCTAGTTATGCTCATTAAAATATGCTTTTCCAGTGTGCCAATTAAGAGCAACGGGAGAAGGCAATCTTTACTGTATCGTTCACTGTGGATTAAAGTTTGCTGGCTTACCGTTTTCCAAATTATTAATGGTCCAACTGCTACAAATTATCCAAATTATTAATGGTCCAACCTAACCCTAACTGCTACATTTTAAACTTATTTGGGGTGCAAGTTGCTTGCTTCAAAGTGTAGCCTTTCCTGAGGTCATGGAGCAATTGCCTGGAGGCAACCTAATGGAGGAGAGTTAGGAAGGCTACACTGGCCACAGCACACTGCTCTATGCATGCAATGCAAGCAGGATTAGGCCCCAAAGCCACCCGTCAGTTCTGAGCTTTGGGGGCAAGAAAAGTCCCAGTCCAGTACATGCTTACAAAACTGAACACAGCAATGCTAATTCTAATTCAGATCATACTGGGGACAAGTGCATTTAAAAATAAAATATGCTACATTTTCAAGTGAATGTCATTTAGCATGGTATATACGCCTGCAAACACAATAGAGCTTGCTGGAATCGGGGCTGGCCTGGACAATGGGCTGTATTCTCAGGAATCAGGAGAAGTTTTCTCCCTGATTCTTCTTTATAAAATTTTCCAAAGAGAAATGCAAAACCAGATTATTTGATCTGAGCCGGAGGGACAGTCAAAACATCTGGATGGCTAAAAGGCTGAATACATGGAAATGTTACTTGTTACACAGGAAAAAAACAAAGGGAACTGAAGAATGTGCATAAATCAGGGATTCCAATCACCAAACCAGGATATAAAGGCTTCAACTGTTTATGTTGATGTTCTGTCAATGAATGTTGACTTTTCTAAATAATGCCAGGCATTGTTGCACTCCTGAGTTTTTTCATATTACACTTCACAACAAAGCTCTAAGATCTGCATACATTTTATTTATTTATGTCCTGCCTTTTTTCTTACACGGAACTCAGAGTGGTTTACAGCATCCTCCTCCCCCCTGCTCTCAATCATACCCCACAACAACAACTCTGTGAGGCAGGCTGGCCTGAGAGCCTGACCGGCCCAAAGGCACCCAGCTGCCAGCCACGCACTCTTAACCAGAACACCACACTGGCTCTCCCAGGAGCAAAGGGTAGGGTGTATTGACACTGCACGTTTCCCATTCTACATGGAAACAGGAACAATGCACATGAAATTCAAATATGGCCCAGGTGCTCCCGATGAAACTCTAAATTATCAGGCACAGTGAGGCTGCCTCTTTAACACAACTGGAATTTCCATTCACACTAACCATGTTCTTCTGGTGTTACTGAAAGAAGAAGGAGGTAAAAGCACA